TCCAGTACACCCCAAAAAGTCCTTTAGGCTAGTCTCTCTTTTTTTTAACGTTTCATAGTTATTTACCTAGGAATGTATTATTATATTTACTGAAGTAGCTCCTTCATTTCTGACACCTTATCAATATATAAAGCTGTATATAAACCAATATTCTGGATTTTGGTTGAATCGTGATAACATTTGGGCTTTTACTCTGCAATGTATATAATCATTTAGATTGGATTGTAGATTGCTTTATGTGTTTATAATGGATGCTTCACATGATGCTGATGAGGACATAAGCCTTTGAGTAAAATAAAAATAACAAAGATGGCACTATCAGTGTTCTTGAAAGAGAGCTTATAAAGCCTGGTTTAAGATGTTATGCTGGTATTTTTTTTGCACGACTGCAGCTGTGTCAGTGTGTGTGCTTGCTGGCAGCACAGCTTTAGCTGAGCTGTTTTACAGGCGTTGTTTGCCGTCTTTCCAAGGATCTATTATTGACAGCTTAAGCTTTGCTTTATGTGAGATTATATTAACCATGTCTCATGCTTAAAAGAACTGCACCTGTGTTGTAATAATCAAACTTTATTGATTTTACATTGGAGAAATTTACCTCTGCTACCACTGTGCGGTGCCCAGGGAGCAGTGTGGGGTTAAGGGTCTTTGTTCAGGGACCCAGAGTGGCAGTCTGTGGGAGTGGGGCTCAAACTCAGAACCTCAGGATTCCAAGCTCCATGCCCTAATCACTAGGCCACCACTCCCCTTATGTCGTATTAAAGGGCGACAGTGGCGTACAGGGTGACAGTGGCGTTGGATGTAGGAGTTTGCCCTGAAATCGAAGGATTGACAGTTCAAGCCCAGACTTCGACTTTCAGTGTAGTTGTCCTTGGGCAAGACACTTCACCTGCATTGTCTACTGATGGTGGTCAGAGGGCCCGGAGGTGCCAGTGTACGGCAGCCCCGCTTCTGTCAATGAGCCCCAGGGCAGCTGTGGCTACAATGTAGCTTGCCACCATCAGTGTGTGCGTGAATGGGTGAATGAATGTAGTGTAAAGCGCCTTGGTCAAGTCTCCCGACTTGAATAAAGGTGCTATATAAGTACATGCCATTTAAAATTTTTCACTATAAGTAACAAATAATAGAAAATCTAATTTTAGAGATTTTGTCAGGTTTTTCAATTAAAAAGATTTGAACCCTCTTATAACCAAAGTTGCTTGTGGTCAAAATTTGATTACCAAACGAACCTGGCAACAACATTTTTTTTTTTCAAGAAAAATTCCCAAACCTTATTGTCACAGCTCTAACATGGCTCCTCATGCACTTCTCTGGTAAAAAAGTATGTATATTTAAAACCTGAATTATTGCAGCAATGGCCAAATAACAACATCACTTAATCTCATGCTATGCAGTGCAGGTTGCAGTCTGTAATGCAAAAACAAAACTGCTTTTGTCTTGTATCAGATGAAACCTCTCTTTGCACTCTGAAGTTAAATTTTTTTGAGTTTCTACATAAAAACCATGAGGCTCAGCCCAAAAAGTTAAGATTTTGTTGCGTTTACTGAACAGCTTTTACATCCAATACGACTAGTTCCCATAGAAGACATAGTAAAAGTACAGGTATAAAGAAATTGTTACAGTAGCACTTCCTGTGGTTTGCATTTCCTCGAGGCAGTGACACAAAGAGTATTGACCAACCTCTACTTGTTTTAACCTCTATTTCTAATCACCAAATCCAAGCAATGACTTTCATATAAATAGAACAACATAAGTCTAATCTCTGTTTCATAATAGTGACCACAGTGAGGTATTTATCACCTGCTGAAGAGATATTTACTGCTCATTTTCCCTTTCAATTTGAGTCACCTTGAAATGCATCAGAAGTAAATAAAGTGACATCAATTTCTATCAAAACCAGGTTTTATTGCATAAACATATATAGATATACATTTGTAGATTAATCAGATTATACTTTGCATTTTAAATACCCATTCAGTTTTTAACTATTGATGTTTTCTTTCTCCTTTTCTAAGCAGCATGCCAAGGTTGTATTACATATCTGTTAAATTTGATCTCTGTACAATATACAACTGTTAAAAACTTTTTTTTCTGAAAAAAAAAAAAAAGAAACGCATTTCGAAAACATGAAAAATCATAAACTGATCCTTCCTGTGACAGAACCACAGGTAAAGGTATGTGAACCTTAAAAGTGTTTCTCTTACACAGTCATGCAATGATACTAAAGGGTAACATTTAGGGAAAAGGTGAGTAATGCTGGTTTGGTGCTGGCAGCCATAGGAAATGATTAAATGTCAATGTGCTGGGAATTTCAATGAGAATCTGACAAATAGGGATGAAAAGCATTAGATGAGAGGTTTGTAGATGATGGGCCGATGTGGGCATTCAGTTTAACTCTCAAGTAATTAAAATACGGAACGCATTGATTTCAGTGCGTGAATCCATCAACAGTGAGACCAACAGACTTCTTTAGAGATGATGCAAGACATAGCTCAGGATGATCGTGGTGACCTTGTATTTGCATATTTATGAAAATGCCCTCTCCTGCTCTCTGGTTTGATTAATAGCTGGTAGAAACTATAAAAATGCCTATTACAGTACAAATAGGAAAGTCAAATATGTGACAGTAATACATACATAATTACGCGTAAACCAACAAGAAAGAGGAACCGAGGTCCCTTTCTTTAACGACATAACAACAACATGCACACTGATATACAGTATTATACAATCCAGGTATGATGATGCTTGAGCTTTAAAAAAAAGAAAAACATTTCTCATTTATTTATGCTTCCACAAACCTGTACAATAAACCCATATTGATGCAGACCAGATTGATTGAACATTTTCCCTTTTTTTTTCATCAGCAGCAAAATAATAAATATAAGATTTGTCCAAAAGAAAGAATCTGTTGGCAGTTCAACATTGTCTCAGAGGGAGCACCGTTTCGTAACTGAATCCACAAACAATTGAAGCCAGATATTTACATACACTGTGTTCAGGGAAGATTTTTGATGATTAAACAAAAAAGGAAACAGAGATTGTTTTATCCCTGGAAATCAACACTAAATATTAATTTGCCATAAAAAAAAAAAATATATATATATATATATATATATATAGATAAGAAGCCATTACTCCAAAAGGAACATAAAAATATTATGGTTTTGCAAATGCACTCATCAAAAATACTCCACAAAAGTATGTTTTTGTGGATTTTTCTTGTAGTCTAAAAATCATATGAAACTTTTTTGCCATAATGACCAACATTTGTTTGAAAAGCAGATGTTCAAAATTTTAAGGAAATGAATGCAAACTGCTAAACTTGAACAAGGTAAAAGACATTTCTCATCAATAATCAAAGAAATTATTTTACAAATGTAAAGTTATCAAAGACAGAATAATCATTTTTCAGTTTTTATCAGATGGTGAGAAATCTGTCCTTATATGAAATATATGTAAATATCTGGTTTCAACTTTTCATGACGTGATGAAAAGACAGAGCTTTACACAGGGCTAGCTGAAATATCAATACAAAACTATATATATATATATACACACATATATTTCACATACTTATCATATAAACACCTAATCTAATGACTGAACATAAGGCTGGTTACCAAAACAATTGTTTAATGTAATTTAACCCTTTCCCTCCTGGTGCTGCACACTTCCTTCCAGCTGGCTGAAAAGAGGCTCCCCCATTTCTCGCCTTGCTTACAAGAAAGACAAATTTACCTTTTTGTAATAACCACCAGTTGCAAAAAACCACAAACAAAACAGTGAGTCATGGTTGCTAAAACAAACTGCAATCCATCACTATTATTTATTTAAGTTGCTGTTTTTAAGTGTAAATTATATTGAATTTTGTTAAATAAAAACAATAGACTGTAAAACGTATTACATCATTTGGAATTTTGTGCTAAATATGGCTGTCCCCTTGCCATTTATCAAGGTTATTCTCACAACTTCTCATATATATATAACTTTAGCACATAGATTCAGATTCACTTGGTCATTTTCATCCTGCAATTTAACAATGTGTGTCACACAGGGGATCTTGCAGGGTTTTAAAATGTCTCAAGGTTTATATTTTGACTAATCAGTCATGTAAGCTTGGCAAAACTGCTAATCTAAAACAAAAATACACTGTGCTTTTAATCTCCCAAATATTACAGTCTTCCATTTAGTCCTGAGCAGTAAAATTAGGATAGAAGATATATATATATATTTTTTTACAGATATGAAGCAAAGTAACCTTCAAAAAAATGATACAGCACAAAGACTTAGATTAAGCTTTAGTTCTCTTTTTGGCCACTAGAGGGAAACCTTTTCCAAGAATCAAATCAAACACATCTCCTGTTAATCCAGATCCACTGGTCCATTGCATTGCATTGCATTGCTTTCCATTGTCTCATTTAGCATTGTCTAAGTGGCCATAAAAAATAAGGTCCAAGGTGGCTACAAGAAGAAAGGACATTTCTAAATTGCAATTAAGTTGCTGAAAATACGCACAGAAAGTTTCCCCCGTAACACCAACACCAACAGTAGCCTATACAGTTAAACTAAAGGCATTGTGAAACCATACCTCCATGTTGTTTTCACCTAATTCTGTTTCTAAAACAGCAAAAAAAGATTGCAGCTAATATAAAAATCATGTGATCCAGGCCATAACTTTCCAATCTGTCACTGTAAGGGATTCTGTGAAAATTAAAGCCTCAGTTTAGTGTACAACTCAGATTCTGGATTCTACCCTGGTTTTAGAGGTTGTTTTTTAAACTACGTTGGCCTATCGTTTCAAATCACTGTACATACCCTCTTCTCATATCAAAAAGCTAGTCTTGTCCACAGAACTAGTGCTGAAGTGTTTTTTTTCTTCTTCTCTATTTTGGTCTATTTTCTGTGAACCTGAGAGAGACGGTGGTGCATATATTCCCAGCAGATCAGTGTCTGGCACCTACAGTCATGCAAAATTTAAAGGACTTTAACAAATGGCAACCATGTTACTCTCTGAATCACATTTTTTGTCAACAAACCTTCCTCATAAAGTGGCATTGGTGTATATTTAAATTGATGTATAGTAAAGTTACTGGTTTTTCTTCTTTGATACTTTCTGCTTTTGAGAGGAGTAGTAGATTACATTACATTATAGATTAATGGGAGTTTATATACTGGCATGCTTTTAGGGGGTTTGTACGGATGAGCAGTACTACAATGAATGCTAATGTAAGACCTTTATTTTTCGCCACAAACACATACCTGACAATTACTGAATTCAGAGTGGTCTATTTTCTGTTTGGTCTATTTTTACACCTCTTGAGATGCCTCTGGCTATTATCTATATACACAGTGTTTGCCACAATGCAAAAAATTCATACGATTAGTCTGTTTTTACTAAAATGTGATGAAAACCAAGTTATCACTCTCTGAGATTTGGGATTGTGCTTCCTGTACATAAAGATTTAACACAGCAACACAAATAGCAGACTGAGCTGAGGACACGAATGTTTCACGCTAAATGTGGCGCTGATGCACAGCTACATAAGATGTGAGGAAATTGGTATGCATTTCAATGCTGTGACCAGTAAAGAGTGCTCACATTCACTCAGTTCACATTCTCTGCACATTTTCTGGGATAGATATGCAGCTGTTTGATATGTTCGCTGTTTTTCCTTTTGAAAATCGGGCATGATTTAAAGCACCTGATACGCATTTCTGGTAATTATAAAATCAAGTTTAAAGGGTGGTTTTGGTCTTGAAAACAACAATTCCTGTTTAGTGTCACAATTTATAGAAAACCATAACTGTTCTAGTCAGTAAAATTCTAGTCACTTTACATGGTGACATCTTTATTGCAAAAAAAGAGAAGCTCTTAACATTTTATCCACAGTTTTCCAAGAATAATTCACATGAAAACAAACAGAAAATGCTCAACTGATTGTTGGGAGAAGTGCTTGGGTTGTGGCTGGTGCAGCTTTGGCCGTGAAGAGAAAATGTGAGGTCATGGCTGTTTCTGTCCCATTCCCCATGCTCACAGTGCAACCAGTGTTACTCCATGCCGTTCCGCAGCATCTGATTGGCTGCAATAAGCATGACACTGATGATAAAAGCCATGGCGAAGGCGCAGATCAGGCTTTTCCTAACACATGTTTGCCGATTCTTCTTCTTAGGATGAACTGAAAGGAATTCAAGGAAAGGAAAGCGTGAGGAAGCACAATATTTGCACAATTTTTCTTTTCTACTCTGTTTCAGTACGTTTGTAACCTTGATGTTGAATATTTTTTTAATTGAATGTCAATCTAAGGATGCACATCTCCTTCTCTCCATGCATGTGTGGATTCTCTCCAGGTACTCCAGCGTCCTCCCAATGTCCAAAACATGAGTGGTATGTTAATTGCCATCTTTAAATTGTCCTTAGGTGTGAGTGTGTGTGCATGGTTGTGTGTCTGTATTACGTTAACTCATCTAACCAGCTTTTTTATTTTTAAAAATTGTCATTATATGAAATAAAATCCCTGCATTTAACCCATCCCCTTGGGGGGCAGTGGGCTGCCACTGCGCAGCGACCGAGGAGCTGAGGTTAAGAGTCTTGCTCAGAGACCCAGAGAGGCAGTCCGTGGGAGTGAGACTCAAACCTAGAACTTCAGGATTCCAAGCTCTATGCCCTAACCACTAGGCTGCCACTCTGCTCCACCCTACTGATAAATCCAGCCAATGCATTGACGCATGTGTCGAGCTCATAAAGTAAAACCCCGTGTCGGCGCATGTATTGTTACAAGAAAGTCATGTTACTGATACAGGAGCTTTTTTGTTAACCGATTCTGATGCACTAAACTGTATTTATAAGCATATTTTTAAACAGAGTATCTGATATATTGTATTGTATTGTAAAACACCGTATAATATACTATTTCTATAAGCTTTTTTAAGGTCCACATTTGTGTGATCACTTTTGCTATACCGTAATCTTTTGCTGCTGCTCTAACACCACAATTTCCCCTATGTGGGACAAAAAAGGTATTTTCTATCTTTCTATTCTATCTTTTGCGGTTAATCATTAAATTTATCAAGAAATATGGAGCAGATATCATATTTGTTTTATTAACTTGTGTCATTTATAGTCCTCTCACTTAGTCAACTTATGTGAAATTAAATCAATTTCAAATTGACTCTTATTTAACTATTCTTACTGTATCTATTTTCTTGAATAAATAAAAAAAATACTGTAAAAAAAAAAAAGGGTATCATCAATTCTGTATAGCTGTGCATTGGAGGTCAGTATTGGCAGTATTGAACAATATAGAGTGGGGACTATACAGACTTCATAGTGCACTCAGTTAACTGAAATCCCATGATGCTTTGTGACGAGAGCTCTTGCAAAGCATCCTGAGACATATCTGCTTGTCTAGCGACTATCAATGCACACTACTTTTCAAGGTGCATTGTGGGAAATGTTGAGTCCACTACTTATTCACCCACTAGACATTTGAACACTCATAAAATGGCGTACTATGTAGGGTTTAGGACAGATGTTCGGACACAGCCAATGAGTCAAACACTGCAGTTCTTACCCTCCCACCTTTATATCCTTCCTAATGTGCCCCATATTAAGCCTGTCCAGACCAGTATCTTGCACACATATGTACATAGTGTGGAAAAAAACAAAAAGACCCTGCATATCAGATTGAAATTATTTATTGGTCCACATTTAAAAAAAATAATAGATGTTTATATTTTTTCCCAAAGTAAAGAGGTTAAAATCCATTTCAAATCCCCAGATATTGGTTTAATAGTAAAATCACAGATCTCTGAATATTTTTTCAGAAGTAATTAGATTAAAGTCAGAAGTCATTAAATATTGACTCGCATCTGACTGGAGTCCAAGTCACATGACTCATGTCTGCACCTCTGCTTCCATGTGTTAACACTGAGGTCCTAGCAAAAATTTCAGTGTCCAGTTGTCTGGCAATGACAGGTGGTGTACCAAGACTGCAGAATTAAACCTGAAGGAGATGAACTAATCATCATCGGCTAATGCCAACCAGCCACACAGTTGAATCTTTGTACCTGTTTCAGTTTAAATACCACTGAAAATTAATCTGTGGGTCTGAATTCTAACATCAAGGTTAGTTAAAAAGCAGCATTAGCTCATCTAGTCTGACTTAAGAGAAGAGCGGGATGGCAGAGTAAAAAAAAAACACTGAAGGAATGTTTTCCATCTAAGAAAATGTGAATGAACTTTTGAGTTTAGAGGGTGGCACCGTTCTTTATCTACATTTTTTTGTTTTTCTTGTGCAGCACAGGCAATGAGAACATTTTTCAGGTCGAAAGCGAAAACTTTCTAGTGAAAGAAAAGGGGCCAAGGATGAAACGTTTGGGAACCATTGCGATGATCTAATTTGGGCACAACAGCGCAATCACTGAATTTATAATATAAGCCATAAAATCTTAAATATATATTCCTGAAACTGTCAACTATAATCAGGATAGAAGATTTTTAGAGCTTCTACAGTAATTAGTTTCATTTCTATGTATTTTCTGTTGAACTTCAATGAAAAATTGAGGTTTCAGGATCACTGCCTTTTTCCCCAGGGATGCATCAGTTCTTTGACTGAAACAAATATAGATGACAGAGCTGCTAAGATTGTGTGCTGCCTTGTTTGGCTTCTTGTGTCTGTGACCCAGATTATGAGTACAATGTCTCTGATGTAAAAACATCAATACATGCAAAGGCTGGGTACAACCTTGCACAGCAGTAGCAGCAAAAACAAAGACAGGAAGATAAGAGGCAGATTTTTTATTTAATTATTTTTTATCCTGCTTCTTGGGCTGAGAGAGCTTTTGTTCTCTAAAGACAATCTCCCAGAGGTTCAAAAATGAGGCAAACAAGAAGAGGCAGATGTGTTCTCCAACAGGTCTTAGTAAAAAGCCAAAAGTTTCCTCTCTGTCAAGTCCCATGTTTCAGTCTGTTAGAATCACAACTTGTATCAATAAGTCAGAGTCAAAGCTTGTGGATCTAAGAGCAACCGTGAAAGTAACCGAGGTCCCATTGGATGGCAAAGGATGGGGCAAAAAGCCTGCTTGAAAGAGGTAAGCCGAGGATATAGGATGTGGGTGAAATGTGGGGGAAAAATACAGCTGGTTTGCCTTTTCCTCTTTTCAAAACGACCCATTTCCAACTTCCCATAACTTCATGGTCCAACCATTCCTCATCAGAGGCAACTGTGTGCAGGAAGCTAAAGTCTAAATCCCTTCTTTATCTCCTTCTTAAAGGAATAGTACACCCAAAACATGATTAGCCTTCATTTTCTACTCACCCCCATGCTGAACAACACTCTGGAGTACTTTTTTGATATCTCAAATGCATCTGGAGATCTGGGAGGCTTCTTGCTGTCTGCTGACATTCAAATAATGGAGGTCTGTGGCGCCCGAGACAGAAAGGTCCATAAAAGTCCACAAAAACGTGTCAATATTCCTCCATACTGCTCGTCCAATGTAATCCAAGTGTCCTGAGTGGGTAGCATCCAGAATTTACTCGAAACGAAGTCATTTAGAATGTTTTTAGAGCATAAACAGTAGTGTATAGGATTTCCTAATAGCGCCCCCATGCGCGCTCACGATTCTACGGAAGCCGGCAGACCAAACCGGAAGAAAGTGCGCATTCAGCGTCTGGTCTGCCGATAATGCAAGCGTAGAAGAAGAAATGTGCTGTTTACCTGTGCAAAGAAAGAAACAACGAAAGAAAAATGTCTGAGGACTTCAGTGTTGAGGAAGAGCATGAGTTCTTTGCCGAGCTGAATGCGCTGGTTTGGTCTGCCGGCTTCCGTAGAATCGTGAGCGCGCATGGGGGCGCTATTAGGAAATCCTATACACTACTGTTTAGGCTCTAAAAACATTCTAAATGACTTCGTTTCGAGTAAATTCTGGATGCTACCCACTCAGGACACTTGGATTACATTGGACGAGCAGTATGGAGGAATATTGACAAGTTTTTGTGGACTTTTATGGACCTTTCTGTCTCGGGCACCATAGACCTCCATTATTTGAATGTCAGCAGACAGCAAGAAGCCTCCCAGATCTCCAGATGCATTTGAGATATCAAAAAAGTACTCCAGAGTTTTGTTCAGCATGGGGGTGAGTAGAAAATGAAGGCTAATCATGTTTTGGGTGTACTATTCCTTTAACCAACCCTACTCCTCTTTTGAGAGCTATATGAGTTTTAAAGTGCAGCAGTTTTTTTTTTTTTTTTTTTTTAAGCTTAAAGGGATTTCCCAGCAGAAACCCAACTTGGAAATATTTATCTTTGCAAGTTTTGGAAAAACACTCTCTTTTGCCAAACACTGTGATCACACCTGTGCTGTAGGACCATCTATCTATCTATCTATCTATCTATCTGTCTGTCTGTCTGTCTGTCTGTCTGTCTGTCTGTCTGTCTGTCTGTCTGTCTGTCTGTCTGTCTGTCTGTCTGTCTGTCTGTCTGTCTATCTATCTATCTATCTATCTATCTACTTTTGTTAAGCATCTTTGTATTCAGTTTAGTAATGGAGGAAATGATGCACTTTACTTTTTTAATATTAAATCAGTAACAATGCTGCATTAATCTTTTTGTTGTTGTTGTTAGAATGAAAAGTATCTTTACAGCAGCACGTATGTGTATGTATGTATGTATGTATGTATGTATGTATGTATGTATGTATGTATGTATGTATGTATGTATGTTGTATGTATTCCCAATCATTAGGTTAAAATCTTTCTCTTAGAGGGTCAGGAGAAAACATTAGGTCATGTGGAAATACCCCCTCCTCTTCTATTTTTCCTTCTGAATTGTAAAAAGCTTTGTTACACCATTAACAAACAGGAAAAGGTTAGGGTAAAACTATTTTATTGTGTTTTTCATCGTACAAATTGGTAACAAATGTTTCTGTCCAGATGGATGAGCTTGTAAGATAGCAACTAAATCAGAGCACATGGAGAACCTATATGGACCATGAGCATCTTTCCAAGTCTTTATTAGCGGATAAGCTTTCCCTGACAAAAGCTTCCTCACCTCCTTCGTACTCAGGGCAGTTCCCTGAGGTTTCGTTGAGGCTCTCCTCCTCGGTGATGATGATGTTCTCTATGTCCTTCATCGTCAGGTGGTCCCGGAAGGCATGAAACAGCACCTGCTTTAGCTCGTCCAAAGACAGCTGCTGCATGTCAAACTGTAGGGGAACAGAGTAATCAATGCAGACAAACAGAAACATCAGCAAACTCAGCTGGAGGACAGGCATGTAGAAACGACATCAGTGTTGTGTTTAGTCTAATCCAATAAGACATTTGACTTATTTATAGAGGTACAAGTTTGAATAGATTCTGGCTAATACATGCAGCGACACAAACCATTAATGTATTGGTTGTAATAAAAAAGCAACACGTTCACATCTCTGTGGGTAGTTAGGTTGTGGATGTTTTTCATGGAAATGATTTGCAGTATGAGGCTGTCACCTGTTTTTCCCCCATACTGTCAGAGTCTTTGCATCTTTCTTATTCTGCATCAGAAAATATCACCTGCGACTCTCAGCAGACTCCACTAATATCCCTAGATGCATGTGCAAGCAGCATCCTGTAAACCACCAGCATGTCTGGAATATTTACATCCCTGGCATCCTGGAATATGATCAGCTTCTTGGTTTAGCACAACAGATGGCCCCACTGAGGCAGGCATGGTGAAAACTGAGCTAAAAGAGGGAGGCTGAGAGAAGGAAAGCATAAAGAAGTTCAAGAAAAGCCAGATGAATGAAGTAGTGAGAGACAGATGGACAAAACAGAACTGGCAGACAATAGTTGTAAAGATGAAGAGGAGTTGTAACAGGAGAGGATGCTCAATTTAGCAAGGGAATGATAGTCTTACTGATTTTTAACCATCTGATATGTTTGTAGAATCAATAAAGATAGAACACTCTTTTCAGTAAATCTAACCTCAAAGTTTGTTGTTCTCTATTGAAAATAAGGACAAAAAAAAAAAAACCCTAATCACAGCAAGACATGACATTTTCTAAAAGTTAAGACTGGGTTTTATTCCAAATCCTTTCACTGGTATTTGATAGACAGTAAAAGCACTTGATATTCAAAGTGCAAATTCAAAATAAAAAGGAATGCGAGAGACTGTCTGTGAAGGATACACACATTAGAAAGTGCTTCGTGGAGCCTGGAACCCATGTATATTATTTATCATCCTGAGTGTTTCTGTTAGGAACAGATTTAACATTTGAAAGTAGGCTCAGTCACTTTAGGTATATGTAAATGCATCAAATTAATCAGATGACTGATTTTAAGGATAGTTACATATAGAAGATTCCAAATTTACACCACAAATTCAGATCTTGATGTTTTTGTATGGAATATTCTGTGCAAAATTGTTTTATTTCAAAGTTTCTTTTGCCTTTTTGATTGATTTATTGTTCTATTAAAGCAGCATTTTTCCTCTATGTATACTCCCACACAATTACAGTAAACAGAACAAAATCAAACACAAGCACTATCAATATTAAACCTAAAACACTTTGCAAGAGAACAATTTCAGTACAGACAAAGAGATAGTGGTGTTCCTTTTTAGCATGTTTACCATTCTTAATAAACTCTAGAAGAAGGAAGCTACAGCAAAAGGAATCCATTTAAAAGACGATACTGATATAAAAATGGGAAGAGTCCTGAAGCATCTTTTTTTTAGATAACTCTGAAACTGTAAAACTAGGAGTATGAGTAAAAATTGGGATGGGAAGTATATACAAGAAGTATCAATATTACAACAGCTTAGAATGGGTTTAAAAAAATTTGTTTAAAAAAGCTGTTAAAAAATATAATTACCAAAAATATGCAAAGACCAAATTCATCTTTTGTTTTTCATTGTATTGCAGTAACTAAATTAACTACTGACTGCCTAATTCAAATTTTTTTCTAAGACAATTTTTACTATGAGGCTTTTAGTTTTACATTGCATATTTAAATGTGAAAACATGTTACAAGGTAAAACTATAAAACAAACAAAAACTAAACACTTGCCAAACAATGCCTGTCCTGACAGGATGACCTGTTTTGATCAAATTTAAATATAGAAACTAAACATAAAACTAAAAATAAAGCATTTTTGTTTCCATCGTACAATTTGCTGGGTTTAATTCATTTTGTGTAAAGATTTTCCAGAATTGTTTTTGTTTTTCATTGAATCCACCGTAGGTAATCTAAAGGGAAGTTGAGTCATAACTAAGACCATTCACTTTATGAGTAATCTGCATGCAAACAAAAATAGTGTTGGAGCATTAAAGGTAAATACCATTTAGTTGAGACACTGATTAAAGTGGCAGAACCCTGAAGTCAAACCATAAGCAGATCCAAGAAGGTAAACAGACATGTACAGAGCCTAGTGAAAGTATTCAGCCCCCTTTAACACTTTGACCATTTGCCACACTTCAGGCTTCAAACTTTTTTAACAAAAATCTCTCTGGAGAAGTTCAGTGAGGATCTTTGATTGTTCCAGTGTTCACCTAAATGACTGAAGATGACAAATAGAATCCATCTGTGTGTAATCAAGTCAATGTATAAATGCACCTGCTCTGCGATTGTCTCAGAGGTCTGTTTAAAGCTCAGAGAGCATCACGGAGAAAAAGAAACACACCAGGCAGGTCCAAGATACTGCTGTAGAAAAGCTGGATTTGGATTAAAAAAGATTTCCTAAGCTTTAAACATCCCAATGAGCACTGTGAAAGACATAGTATTGAAACGGAAGGAGTATCAGATCACTGTGAATCTACACCTCGGCTGTCCCTCTGAACTTTCAGCTCCAAAAAGGAGAAGATTGATCAGAAATGCAGCCAAGAGCCCAACAATCACTCTGGATGAACTATAGAAATCTACAGCTGAGGTGGGAGACTCTGTCCATAGGACAACAATCAGCTGTTTACTGCACACATCTGGCCTTTATGGAAGAAAGCCCTTTCTTAAACATATCCATAAAAAGTCCTGGGAGACACAGTGAATATTTGGAAGAAGGTGACTTGGTCAGATAAAACCAAAATCCAACTTTTTGACAACAATGCAAAACGTTAAGTTTGGTGTAAAAGCAACACTGCTTATCACCCTGAACACACCATCCCCCCCGTCAAACATGGTGGCGGCAGCATCATGGTTTGGGCCTGCTTTTCTCAGCACTTTCTCAGGGACAGATGGTTATAATTGATGGGAAGATGAATGGAGGCAAATACAGGACCATTCTGGAAGAAAACCTGTTGGAAAAGACCTGAGACTGGGACGTAGATTTATCTTCCAACAAGACAATTATCCAAAACATAAAGCAAAATCTACAATGGAACGGTTCACAAATAAACATAACCAGGTGTTAGAATAGCCAAGTCAAAGTCCAGACCTGAATCTGATCGAGAAAACTGCTTTTCACAAACGCTCTCCATCCAACATCACTGAACTCAAGCTGTGTTGCAGGAAGAATAAGCAAAAAATTAAGTCTCTCGATGTTCAAAACTGATAAACCCCAAGCGACTTGCAGCTGTAATTACAGCGAAAGGTTGTGCTACAAATGTATTAACTCACGGGGATTGAATAATTTTACACACCCAATTTTTCTGTTTTTATTTGTTAAAGTTTTGACTATCCAATAATGTTCATTACACTTTATGATTGTTCCCCACTTGTTGCTGATACTTCACAAAGAATTACAATTTATATCTGTATGTTAGACTGCTTACATAAATCAGAATAATTAAATGTGGCTCATAATTCCTATGGAATAAGCTTGAAAGCAGGACACAAAACAACCGTTAGAAACTGAAATGTATGCAAATACAATGATCAAAGTCCTTCCAATTCATTTTTGTGCATTTAGAAGAAGCTTCATCAGGTCTGCAACTGCCTTGGAGATGATATTTTACAAATATACAGTATATGCATGCAAAGTGGCAACATTATCTACATTCACTCCTTGGTTTTTGGTTTCCTTCCTCTCGGAAAAGTCTCAGCATCAAACAAGCAATAGAAAAAAAGGAAAAGGTGTTGATAAGCAGAACAGTTGCAGATGATATGATAACTGAAAGCAGGAAAAAAGGATACTCCTTTCTGCCTATGTGTCTGCATGGAGACCCACTACCTGTTACCAACAAACAGATTTTATTTTCCCTTGTTTCGTCTTTAAACGACACAGAGAAACAGGGTTAAAACAAATGTAGTTTTCTTGTCCGTCTGTTCTGCATTATTTGAACTAACATGTGACTCGTGTGCAAGCATGTGATCAAGCAGTTACCAGGGGCACAGCAGGGGTACTGTGACCAGGCACCCAATGACAAGTAGAAGGAGCGAAGACACATCAATCAGAAGAGCAGGTGATAACACGCCGTCCTTCCTATTTAATCCTCCAGGCTTTTAAACAACAGAGGCTTGTTTCGTCAGCCCCTCCACCTGCTTTGTCTTCTGACCCTTCTCCGAAAAGTCACCAAGACTGACTGGCTGCAGTCAGTTATTGTTAAACTCTGGTGCTGGGGTCTTTGAGTTCAAATAAAGTTTATGTTGTGTTATAACAGCAGGGCCTAAACAAACAGTAAACATTCCAATTTAGAAAAACATAAAAAAATAGATCCATTCATTTTAACACAGTAGTTTGAAAATAAAAAAAACACCACTTAGTACTTGGATGCCACATAGAGGTATTTCTACATAGAGTGCTGCACTGCAGATTGAAGCATCAATTAAATGGCAGGCATTATATAACGCGAATGATACATTTTTTATAAGTTTCACTAGAAAATGGATCGCAGAAGTCTTAAACAATTGAAAATGTATGATATTAATTTCACTCCATCACCTTCTTTGACTCTTTGTTTGACTTTTGTCATAAATTTGTGTACAGTAATCTCATCGTCATATTATTTCTTTGACTTTCATTTGACAATTTTTTCCCCAAGTTTAATGATGATAGTTCAACAATAGTTGAATGCACAGGTTTGAAAACATAATGGATTTCTCCAAATTTACCTGAGATAAACTATTACATACATTCTGAACTATATATATATATACATGCTAGGGGTGTGATATACTGTAGTGGCCAAGGACTGGAAGTGCAATGCAAATACATAATTATGCAACATGTACAAAACGTACTGCTAAGACAAACCACGCATGACATGCAAAGAAAAAATGCTGCAAAGGAGACATG